TTGACGTTACTCAACGCGATATGCCGCGGCGTGTGAGAGAGCGTATGCTTACATTATCTTGGCGACGCCAAGTAAGTCGGCACAGGTCTCGATACGCGCTTGCAAAATCGTCGTCGCTTATACACACGCGCGCGCGCGCACACACACACCGCGCCGTGCCGCGCCTCCGTAAAAAGTTTCATACGTCGCGAAAAAACGTTCCGTTCGCGTGAAAAATCCAGCCAATGCGCTGCCGCGCCGCGGTTGCGCCGAATCCGCACGGTTTCTTTTCCGTGGATAAAATCACTCTTTTATAAGAGTCAAAATGGCAAAAAAAAAAAAAAAAAAAAAAAAAAAAAAAAAAAAAAAAAAAAAAAAAAGAACGAAGAAAAACCACGAATTACGGCGGCGAGACGGCGGCGACAATCACACGATGTTGCAATTTGCATGTGAAATACGGATTCTGTGTTACGCGAGATCTCATGTTCGAAACTCAATTACGATACTTGGTAAATTGAGTTTCGGAAATGTTGAGGTATTTAAACCAAAACTGGATATTTTTGCCTATTCGTGAGAGAATTTTCAACATGTCTTTTTGTTCTTCTTTTTTTACTTCGAGCTCGCAACATATCGAGATATTTTTAATCGTGACGGCGATTAACTTTGTCGAAGAACAAAGTTGACGGTTAAACCTTCATACAAAGTGCATTATGGAAATTTCCTATAGTATATTGATGTTTACGATTTTGTGAGCAAAGAAAAAAAGACGTGTTCGATAAATCACTGAGTTGGACAAACTAATCGCGTATGCGTAGTTTTCATTATAAAAAAAAAAAAATGAAAAAAAAAGAATCTCGAGTAATTTATTTATTATTGGCGCAAAAAGTTAATTTACAATTAGCGCAGAAGCGATGCGGGCGAACGGAAGGATGTGACCGAGAGAGGAGAAGGGGACCTTGAATTTTTTACATGACGGCGAATTGCGCAAGTATATACACGACGTCCGGGCTCGGCGCCAAACTTTGCCCGATACGCGTTGCCCAATTTTACGAGAAAACGAGGTTGCGTGGGCTCTCCCGAAACATTGTTCGCCGTTTGTCTAAACGGCAAACTTTATCGCTCGCGTTGTAAAAAAACGCGATTGCGCGTGTTCCCGAGCACACTTTTCGGACGGTTATTAGACAATCGGGCATCCCCCAGAGAGAGAAAGAGAGAGAGAGAGAGGAAACAAAAGAACAAACAACTCCTCGTGCACGAACAAGCACGAAACATAGAAAAACGAAAATAATCGCCTCAATTAATCGGCACGAATGTTAATCGCGTTACCGTCCGCGGAGTTTTGGTTGTTCGCGGGGGAAAAAGCGCGCAGGACCGTATTTATCGCGGATTAACTTGATAGCGGAGAGACGGACAACCGCGCGTGCACACACACACAGTTGTGTCACACACGCGTCGCAGCGCAAGTCTCGCACAGCCAATGAATGAGCCACGGTGCAAGGACACGAGTTGCAACAAATCGAACGTGCCCCAGACTCTCCGCTCTCTTTCCTTTCCTCACCCGTTCCCGCGCGCGATTAAAAGCGCAGCTTTGGCACTGCTTGTACCCGCGCGGATTCGATATCAAAACTGTGTGTTTACGCGCGCGCGGGAGAAAGGGTTGAACGATCGATTCTCGCGACCGTGATTCCCCTTTCGCACAACGCGCGCCTCTTTCCGCTAATTAGGAAAGTAACTCGTGCGAGTTACTTTTCTCGGGAGAGACGCGGATTGTTATTATATCCACCTCGGTCAACAGGGAAGCGATGTTCTTCTCGCCACTTTGTCCGTCTTGTTAAACAGAGAGAGCGCGCGTTTTTTTTGTTTGGCGATACGACCACATTTACACAAAAGGCAAAAGAAGGAAATTTCCGTTAACGATCGCGCAAAAAGTAATGCTTCGTGGTGGCGTGAGAAACTCGGGAACGCCTGTCCTTAGACCTTTCACGCCGATTGAAATGACTGGTATTAATTACCTGTCTCGCGTTACGCGTGACTTCGACGCGTACATACACGCGCGCTACCGAACTACCGTGAGTGAATATTTCTCTCCGAAGGTGCGCGCGGTGTTCGTTTCCGTCCGAGCGTTAGGAACTTCTGTCAATATCCAGGGGAGAATGATGAGACTTCGGGAGTTTAATATCCTTCGCCTCCCGTGCAAAAAAAAAAGACGAAAACACGGGAAACACAAAAAAATGACAAATTAGAACGATCGGTAAGCAACAACGAAAATGACCGCGAGTTGGGTTAAAGTTGACTCGAAATCACAACAGAGCTAAATTAAAACGCCCGAAAAAAAATACAATCAACGGCAGAAAGAAATAAAAATAAAACTAAAAGGCACGCGCAAAATTTGAAAAAATACAATTACACAGCAGAACTAAATTAAATGGGAAAAAAAATCAAGCGACTAAAAGTAGTTCGCAAAAAACAAAAATAATTCACGTTGCACGCGTTTTACTTGCTAACAATTTCGCGGCTTTGTGATGCGTGAATTTAAAATGTGATAATAATCAACGCGAGAATTACCTGTCGGTCTGCGTACACACCTCTATCGGGATAGTGAGAGAAATTTCAGACTATACGCGATATCTCTTCGGCTGTGTCATACCGAATGCGATTTCGAACGAATCGTGTGACCGATCGCCTATAGACGGCCAGTAAACGGAAGGTGTACACGCCGTACTGGCTAGTTAAGTATGCGACGTGACATGGTTTGGTATTTAGGAAAGGCCAGTCCCGACCAATGTCACAACAAGCCGTTTGAAAGGCGCTAGATCGTGAACGCGGCGCAGGTGAACAGAGAGAGGTCCCCGCGATTGTTTCCCTCTCAATTGCCGATCTCTCGGATCAAACGACGACAAAGGTTGACGATTGCAATGCGCGCGATTGCTCCGCGATCGAACGCCCACCGCAAATCTCGATCGTGCGATCACAATCGGCGATCGCGTAATGTCTCTTTTATGACGCCAGCAATCGTGAAAACGATCCACAGCCGATCGCCTTCCACCAGTGGGATCAAATACAAAATTACCTTTTGTTCATAATTATTTAATTCTGTGAATTGTTGAATAATTTCGATATTATTTTATTTACAATTTCTGTAAATAACGCAAATAACTTTGTACGATACCAGATCGAATACAGAACATCTGGTTCGTCGCCAAAGGTAACTGACCCTACTCACGATCGCGAAATACAATCAGCTGGCGAGTAGAATCTCGAAGGTGAGACGCTATTAAACAACATTTCTCAGCCGAGGACGAACACACGGTCACACAGGACAATGCCCCCTGAGCGAGGACAGTTAACCGTGTTTCCCATGAACCTATCGTTCGCAACCCCATCGGGGCTCTCCACCCCGTAAAGAGAGACGGCGGTTCGGAGACTGGGTGATTTTCGGCTGAAACCGGTTAGACCGGTTTACGACGGTTCACAGAAAAACGTCCGGATCTTCTTCTTCTTCTTCGCAAGCGCAACTCCCTTTCCTCTCAACCGGCGAAAGGTAACTTTTGTTTCGACGAGGTCGCGTTCTTTAGAACCGAGGTTTCACGGTTGCGACAGAATCCCGAGTCTTTGTGATGCGGGTAATTAGTTCGATGTGACGGCCGTTCCGAAAGGAGGACACGTGAAAATTTTAACGAGTGTGCCTATCCGTCGATATTCTTCGGCTCTTGCTTCACAAAATAGCTCGCTTCAAGCGCTTTAAGATTCGTCTCGAAAAAATTGAGCAATTTTCATCTAAAAAACAAGTTTTTAATTAATAAACGAAAAGTTTTAATTGCGAAATTATTTTTTTATCCATCGATATATATACGCATATTGAATTTAAGAGATTCTCGAACATGCCACAATTTCTTTCATTTAATGCGCGAGTAACACAGAGATCTTAAAATGGAAATTCCGCATGTATATTCATTAAATCTAACCAGTTAGTCTCTAGCGACATGGCAATTAATTGGATACAAATCGCAGTTGTAAATTGCGCGTTATAAAGCCGGTGTTACACCGAGGCGATATAACGAACACCTTTTATGTAATTTTCAAGAAATAATTGAGAGCGCACCTGATAATCGCGTGGCGCGCTTAGACACTGTACCCAAGATTTATTCGCAAAGTTGCAATTTGTCAAAAAATTAATTTCAATTTTACTTGGTATTTAACTCCATGCGCGGTTTTGATGTTTTTTTTTTTTTTTTTTAATCAAAAGCGTATTTGAAATCTGATTGTTTAAAAACGCTTCAGAATTTTGATAAAATCTGTGAAAACATATTTCTGTGCGCAACGCGAACGCGCGCAAGTATTGCGCGCGCGCGGCGATTGTTTGCCAGTTCGAAGGTTACGCGTGTACTGTACTGGATGTTCATTGAAGAACGGGGCCGCTTGTAGAAAAATCCGCAAACGAGGTTGATGAGGTTTTCCAGTGACTTTCAGCTCGCGAGCCAAAAGTACTGCCGCGAGAGAGCCGGGCAGCACTTGCGCGATAGCGACGCCTTCTTCGAAGGAAACTAGGACACCGTAGAAATTGCGAAGTTGGTCCTTGCGTCGCGCGCAGGTGCACAAAACGCTTTTCCATGTTCTGCTGGTTTACTTCATTGTACATATCGCCTTGAGATTGAGCGAGACCGATCGCCGATGAGGAGATGTCGAAAGGCTCTTTTAACACAAAACAAAACCGCAAAGAAAAAAAAAACTACGGGATAACGTGAAATATATCGTGCGAGTACATCGTTCTTATCGTTTCGTCGATAAGATAATTTCTCAATTGTGACGTGTCGAGATAAAGAAAGATAGAGAAAAAAACAGCCGTTTAATAAACCGTAAGATAGCGACACAAAACATATTTAGTTTTTTTTTTTTTTCCTATATCTCTCGCTCCGACAGTTATTTCTCCGATAAAACTCGCCGAGTTTTTTTTTTTATTTCCCGATAAAGCCAGCACTCAATTACACCTCCCTCAGTCACTAGTCAAGAATCTTCGGCGCTCGAATGGAGGTCGATTGTGCGCGGCACATGTGATGTCACCGTGCACAGTCATTATCTTCGTTATTATTCCACATAGGCGCGCTCTATATTGCGTCTCGTGTTTAATAACGTCCGCGGCGGTGAGTACAGTCCTATTTCCCGTTTCGCTCGTTGTCGCGAGGACCGAGGATTAATTAAACCGTCTCGTAAAGTTGCGTCCGCCGATGTGACGTCTCGCGCAACGAGCGTTTTGACGACATGTTGGTTTTTTTTTTTTTTTTTTTTTTTTTTTTTTTTTTTTTTTTTTTTTTAAGTCCGACAGAGAAGAGCAACACGCGCATTTATATTTTCAACAGCGCGATTACGTAATTCGATCGCGTCGCTTACGCAAGTGTCGCGATCATCAACTTGTCGTGTGCGCGTCTGTAAATTCCTTTTTTGCAACATTGCAATAAGGACGCGAAGGGATGCACGCTCGAAAGTGTGCTCGCACGCACGCACGCACAATTTTACACGCTAGTCGAGACTCGCCATTCAGCAAGCTTTCTCCTTTCAAGAAACGCTAAAGGTCTCAGGTAGTAAAAGGGGAGGACGAAGAGACGACGACAAGAGCGGCTACGAGAGGGACAACTTGACCGGCGCACGAAGGGTGCAGACGTGCCGACGTGCGTAAGGGCGATATATATGTATGTAAGGGTGGCCAGAATTGTCTGTTCTTCGTCGACAAAAGCGTTCTCTCCTCTTGTGCCTTTAAGTACGAGCATCCCTCGTAAGTCTAGTTGTTCCCTTCCACGCTGTGCCCAATTCAAACTTCATTCCCAAGACCAAACTTCCGCCGTAGATGGCAATCTTCCCTCTCGAACCCTCGCCGCAAACCTACTTCGGACTTCATCGTTCTAAAATATGTTATAGTCAGTCGGCGAATATTCAAATCGGTCTTTGTTCCGAATCGGTATGTACATGTATATTCGTTTTCGAGTGAAAAATATATATAAGTTGAAAAATACATAAATTGAAAATTAAAAATTAAAAACAAGATAAAATCTAAAGAAAATCTCGTCGTTTTTAAGATTGAAACGTCGATTGCATGCAATTTCGCGCGTTTATCAGAAGTTAACGACCAAACACATACGGGATTAATCAACGATTGATTTAATGATACGTGACTGATTAATCGCCTCGCCGATATAAATATTCGATATCAATTTGCCGTCTGGTATTTCGTTTCCTTCGAAGTTTAGCGTAGACAATCGCGGAGACAATCTCAATCTCGAACACATTAAAAGACGAGACACTCGCGATTGGGTTTCGCGATTAAATTTTTTTCTGGGGAAAAAATCGATATTCCGAGGTAAAATGAAAATTAAGATATTCCGACGCAGGTGAGCGCGATACGGCGCGTCGGTATAGGCTAAAAATAAAAGCAATTACCGAACGAGAGCGACCGTTGCATTTCACATCCGCAAATGCATTATGCGCGCAGCCACGCTGCGCTTACGTGCGAGTTGTTTACGTTTGCCGGGCGTAAATAGAACGTGCGGAAGTTTTCTTTCACTCGAGGCGCGTTGGCGCGCGTACACACCGTTCTTCGCGAAAATTCTAATATAACGCCGCCTTTCCCTTTGTATACACGCGCGCGCTCGCTCGCTCGCTCGCTTGCTGTGTGGGAGCATTACGAAAAGGAAAATCGCCTGAAATTCCTGACCGGCGCGAACCGTAAATATGTCGCAGCTAATTACTCGGAGCAGCTAATCAACGAAGCTGAGCATGCGCAAAAGAGAAAAAGAACCCTCGGACACCGCACAACAATTATCCAATACGTCGGTCGTGTGTTTTATTCTCCCGTCGGGTTTTTCGCGAAAATTGGCTACTCATTACATCAACATGTGTGCGCGCGCGCAAACACACATACACATGGTCACACAGAACAAGTTCGAATGCGGCGAGTGGCAAACGGGTTTTTCTCGAACACTTGGCAGCTCGATCTGTCACAATCGCGTATTCGGAATTTCAATCGATACGTATATATATATATATATGTATAAATACATATATATTACGTGTATAATTAACGGCCGAACTATGCAGTCAATTGTAATTTTAAAATTGCATCCTATACATCGTCGGTTTTTATGTCGAATTTTAGACACTCTCCGCAATAGATTGTAGCACCGATCCGTGGCACACATATTTATAGCCGGCGCCGCGCGAAAATCAGGTCGCCCCGTTTCTGTCAATTTTCCGAACCGTATCTAAGGGCGCCACGAATATAACTTCATTATAAATCAACGTTATCTGATTACCAAATCGTCCCGAAAATAAATGCCCATTACACGGGACGTTTATCTTGACAAATTTGGAGTTTCTAAAAATATGCGAATCGCACGCAAAATTTATAACGCAAATTAGAGTGTTTAATATTTCACATAATAATGCGCTTATATACATGTCAGTTAATTTTAAAAAAACAAAAAATCAATCGAGATGATGTTTAAATGTAAATTTTTGAAAAGTCTTTCATTGGTTTACGCGCGACTTACGTAACGGTTATTCAGCAACTTGGTATTCGCCAACCCGGTTGCCCAACCGCATGAGACCGCAGCTGCTCGGACGAAATCGTGTAAGGATACGCGATTTCAAAGGACCTTGGCATTTGGCATTAGATAATTCGGGGAGGGAGGAAGGAAGGGCGACGGTGTGAACCTCCAGCCGGGTTTCTCGAAAACATGAATACGAAAGTAGTCGCTCGTGTAACGTGTACGCAATGCGACAGAACGTGTAAACTCTCTCGAGGTTACACGAGCGAGAAGAGAGAGACGAGCGCGCGTTTCTTTTGCGATTCCCTAATCGGTTTTTTACGGCTCTCGCTGCCTAAAACATTCACTCGGCTCGACGAGACTCTAATGAAGATCTACGAGAAGCTCAAATTAAAACGCACGACTTTCTCTTGCGCAAACACTTTGCTCAGCGCGCGAGACCGAATGTTTAAAAAAATCGAAGTAAACCTGACCGTAGTTTTGATATTTTTGTTTTAAGAAAATGTCGAAGTTAACTACTTTTTTAATTTTGTTTTCTCATCAATGTAACTTAATCGACGTAACCGATCTAGAAAATTTGACGATGGTCCGTTTGTGACAACGGATATCCTACTCGCGAATGGAAGTGTGTCAGCGTGTTGCCACACGAGAAGAAAAGGAAACAGAACGCGAAGAAGCGGGCGTGGGCGAATTTAATCAGCTCGTAATCGACCGAGAGAACCCGGCGAAAGAGGGAAAAAAGCAACGCCGAGGAGCGACAAAGCGCGAGCGCGCGCGACCTACGTCTCTTTCCGGGAAAAACGTGATGCAACAAAAGAGAAAGGAAGAGAGAGAGAGAGAGAGAGAAAAAAGAGAAAAAAAAATAATCTTCTCGAGTCGGTGTTGAAACGTCGGTGACAACCGAAGTGTTCGTGGGTGCATTAAATCGATACTCGCGATTGATTACCTGACAACGAGAAAATAGATAGGCGCTCGAGGATATCACTGTCTTTCGTGACAGGCGAGTTTTATCTTTGCCGAATGGCGTGGAAATATTGCGCGAATGTGTACGCGCGCGCGCGATAAATTTTCCACGCAATTTACAATCTCGATAATAATCAAGCCGTAAGAACGCGCACACCGGGACGATAAAGAAGCTAAATTCTCGTAAAATCGCGCGTCCATTACGACACGCGATAGGCAAACGAATATTTCGGAAGATACGCATGTGTGTTGCGTAATCAAGAAACCGATACCGTTAATTATCTAAGCCGCGAGCGAAAATTCCTCTCCCGATCTCGAAATTATTAAAACACCGCGGCGAGCACACGCATGAATGAACACGCACAACTTTCCTAAAAGGTGCGCGCGCGCTCGCTCAAAGCACCAATGAAATGAATGAAGGGAAGCGTGGGTGAAGTTTAATCGAGAGCGCAGCGGAGTAGATAAAGAGAAAGGAAAAACGACGCTTTAATTTTCAAGTGCTCCGGAAAGAAACGCGAACTCGGACGTGCGCGCGCGCGTGAGAGTTTCTCTTAATTGATACATCGGGGCGCGAAATGTGTAACGAGAGTGTGCTCTTGTTCGATAAGTGGAAAGTGGCGAATGTTTCTATTCTCTCAGCGAGAAAAGAGGAAAAAAAAATAAAAGAAACGATCGAATCGAAGCGATCGGCGGCGAAGCGCGGGAAAAACCTTGTGAAAGTTACATCACCCACCGCCGCGCGGCTCTATCATTACATGTGCGTTACGCGTCTGCGTTTATTCTTAGGAACTACGCTCGGTGCGTCGCGCGCTTTGGTGCGCGCGGTAAAACGACGACGCTTTCCCACAAAGCGGACGAAACTCGGACGGTTTTTCCTGTCGCGATCGACCTGTTCGCGCAGGTTGAAAACCTACTGACGGTATATCGCGGGGGTATATATTCCGCAAAATTAAAGGGAGACATTCTTCGGGAGTAACGCAATGTTGCGCGCCGAAAGGGCGGGGCGCGACGCCGCGCACTTTCAACATGCGAGTGAAGCGTGTAAACAGCCCGCGGCTGCCGCCGGTCGGTGATCGATTTTTTGACACGCGCGACTTCTAACGCAGCAATGACACAATTTCGACTACCCGCGTCCCGGCTGAATATTATAATTATACAATCGCGAGATTAATTGAAAAACTAAAAATCAAAAAAGTCATATAATCGCGGATCTAGCTCGGATTTCGTTCGATTCATGATGCAACGCGCGTGATGTTTGACGTAATAACGACGTCGTCGGGGGGATTCGGTCGCCTGAAAGCTGGAAACCGGAATTACCGCGGTTGAAAAAAAATTTCCTCTTTTTGCGCGGCGCGAATGAGCTGACCGCGATATAAGTGCGATAATGAGCGTGCGCGAAAGTAGAATTTCATGAGTAATTGCTGAATGACTGTACGCGCGCGCGCACCAAATATACATAAATAAAACGCGCGGTATGTTTGTTAATAATTAAAAGGAATATGTTATATGTTTTTGCGTTAGGCAAAAACTTTAATCCGCGCGCGCGCAAAAAAAAAAAAAAAAAAAAAAAAAAAAAATGTTTGTTAATAATTAAAAGGAATATGTTATATGTTTTTGCGTTAGGCAAAAACTTTAATCCGCGCGCGCGCAAAAAAAAAAAAAAAAAAATTAAAAAAACAAATTTTACGCAGGCAACGTTAAAGCGAATTCGCTTCGAATCTCGTCTCGCCCGTTTGATTCATTTTATTCATTTCGCGACTGTTTTACATTCCCGAATGGAAGCAACGCGAAATGTATACCGCAAACGATGGGTTTTTAGTAACGAGCTCGTCCGGAGAGCTCGCGCCCATTGTCTACAGTCGAACAATATATGTACGAATCGATGTACGACGGAATGAAAACTGGTTTCCGGTGGGGAGATCGTGACTAGGCACAATATCGGTATCGCACAGAGGCGGATTGATGTTAAAATGAGCAGTCATAAATCATAAACGGCGCGGCGGTATTATTTCCCGCCGCGATTCTCACCGTCGCGCTCGATCAAGATCAAGGATTTTCACTTCTTTCCTTCTCGCTTCTTGGGAACGAGTCGTTTTTTTGTGCGCGCGCGCGAAACGTATGCGCGACGATAATTACAAATCAGAATAAGTAAGCGCGCGTGCTCACTGCAACGAACAATTAATCTC